AGAAGTTTGGGAAAAAGCAGGACATTTTAAGGTGTTTTTTCTTATCAGAAACAGGATAGAAGTAGTAACTTTGGAACTTACAGAAAAACAGAGTTAAGCAGACATATACTTATGCATATACTTTGTCAGCTGGTGGCAGAGAATAGAGAGGGGGGGTGGGGGAAGGTAGGAGGTTGAGTCTAGTGAGGACTCCATCAAGCCAACACAGTAAAGAAGGGAGAAAAAGTACCAAGAGAAAAACATGGCAAGTAGAGAGCATAAAGTGAGAACAAAACTAAGTCCAAATAGCAGTATCACAACAAACGAATTAACCTGAAATATAACTGACAAACATAATCTATACACATCAACACTGTACACCACTACTTGTGCAATACCATTTTAAAGTAATCCTCTAACATTTAAAATAAAAAGGCTAAGTGTTAAGTTCAAGAAACTAGAAAGACAATAAATTCAAATGAGGAACTATAAAGTGGTTACCTGGGGTGTGGATCTGAGAGGAAGACAACTGAGAAGGGGGAACAGAGTGAGAACTTTCGTAATGTTTTAATTTCTTAAACTATTACATATATAAATACTGTTGTGCTCTCCATTAATTTTTATATCAATTTCATGAAAAACAAGAACATTTCACATCCCTCACAACGGCAAAAGGTCTAGCAATGTCAATTATTGAAGAAGACACAAGAAATTAGAAGTCTCAACCACTGCTAGGTAAAGTGTAAATTATTTCAGTTAAAAGAGCAATACAGAGGATTCCAACTATATAAACCAAAGAGTTTATGCCATGAGACTAAGCATGTGACTTCTTGAACTGTACCCTGAAGAAATGAGTATCTGAAAGAAATATATAGTGACATGCTTTAATAGCAAAAAACTAGAGACAACTTGGTATCAAGCAAGACAGGAATCTACAATACACTACACTAGATACATTCTTCCCATCTACCGATGAGCAATGATCCATCTCAAAAAGGTGCCTATCTAAAAACAGCAAGCTGAGCTGAACATGGTGTTGGGTGCACCTGTAACCCCAAACACTCTGGAAGCCTGAGGCCAAAGGATCACAAGTTTGAGTCCCATGGACAGAACTTAGCAACACACTCTCTCAAAAATTAAACAAACAAAAAGAGCTGGAGATTTAACTCAGTGCAAAGGTCCAGGCAGAAGGATATCAAATTCAAGCCTAGACCGGGCAACTCAGTGACTTAGTGAGACCCTGACTGACTATAAAAAAGGGCTGGGAGTGTAGCTCAGCAGAAGACCCTGGGTCCAATCCCCAGAAGTGTAAAGTAAAACATCACTAGGTATTGTTTATGGACATAAACATATGAAATAAAATATAGAAACAAAGCATAGCAAATTACACACCAAATTCTTGATTAAGGTGATTAGTAAGAGATGCTGGGGAACCTTAACTTCATCAGTAAAGTCACAGATGGTTTTTTTTAGAACATGTGAAATGCATCTAAAATAAAAATATCAGTATGTTAATTCTACATAATAGACATGGAAATTTTTGCTATGTATTTTAGTTTTTAACACTACAAAAGTTTTAAAGTAGCTATTTAATTTTTGTGAGAATAAAATTGTTTATATATTTTAAATAAAAGTAGTACCTGATACCTAATGGAAACTTCTAAAATGTAAGTTTTCCAGCTGGGGATTTAGCTCAGCGCCATAAATGCCTGCCTGGCAAGCACAAGGTCATGAGTTCAAACCCTGACACACACCCAAAAATGAGTTTTCCTTACCATCAAACAAAATGAAGTATTCTGGTAGACAGTCTATAAGCCATTCTGCCTTCGCATGTATTTCACAAAAAACTGAGAAACCTTGTTATCTTAGACAAGCAACCTTGACCAGTGTAATGGTTGATACAGTGTTAAATTGACAAGTTTAGAAGTTCAGCTAAATAATTTAGTAGTTCTACATACGGGGGTGTAAAGGACATGCCCTAGGGGGGGCTGTTAAAGCTCCAGGATATTGTAATGGTTGATGAATTGTATCAACTTGAGAAGTTTAACCAAGGGACTCAGCAGGGGGCCAGGGGCCTCACTTTGTAAACTTCCTAAACCTGTGCAAGAGGAGGGCAGGGAGATGGTGTCAGTGCTACACCTGCTCTAGGGCAGGTAGCCTGCTTTTAGAAAGAAGGAAAAAGGGTTGTTCCCCCATCTTTTTGCTCTGTTGCTCTTGCTGTTGTTTGCTGTCTTAAACTGTTGGCCCTCTGCTATGCTACCCTATTTTAGAGCCAGTTGATTATAAACTGAAACCTCTACAAAGTGTGAGTTAAATAAACCTTTTCTTACTTAAGTTTGGGTGTTGAGTATTTTGTTCCAACAACGAGAAAAGTGACAGCTACCCTCCACTTGTCCTTCAGTTTGTTTGAGATTGCTCAAGACTACATCAGCTAAGAGTATTAACTTTTTTCTTTGGTAGTAGGAATCGAATTTAGGACCTTGTGCTTGTCAGGCAGGTGCTTATGCCATTGAGCATATCCCTCGACCACTTTTAATACTTTTATTTCCCTCTTTTTTCATTTTCCAGTTTCTTTTCTATGCAATATTATCCGTTTGCACTTACAAAACTGCAGTCATGCTATAATTTTGATTCCTTTTTATTTCTCCAGTAAATGTTCCTCAAAATAGGATTTTAAGTGCTTTTTAAAGGAATGTATATGCCATAATCACAAATGTACCACATGACCAATCAACTGCATTTGAACATTTAAATTAATCCAGATTTTCTCTTAACACTTATAAGTTTGGGAAAATTCTTGATTCTTATCTCTATCTTCAATTATATTTGTACCAGATTCTTAGAAGAATATACCGGGTAAAAGATCTGAAATTTTAAAATTCTTCATTCCCATAAATTCCAAAAAAATTATACCAATTTATGAATCTACCATCATTATAGCTATTCTTTTATCACAAATGCAATTCTGACCTGAAGCCAAACAGAGACACTAGGCCTGAGCCCCAAAACAAAAAGAAAATATTTTCCCTTGAAAACAAGAAGTTGATTATACACATACAGATCATTACCTAAAAAGTGAAGATTAGCAGGGACACCTGAGAACCTTGGTCTGCAACTATCTACTCCAGCCACAGTAAACAAGCCTTATCCCCGGAACGTACCCACCACTTTCCTACAAGCCTGTGTACACTGTTCTCTCCCCTGGAATATCTCCACTCACCCTATGTACTGACAATCAAGTCAATCAATTATAGATGACTACAAGATTATAATTTCTACCAAGTCTAGGAATTTTTCAGTGAGCCCCAGTCTAAATTACTCTGCCACTCTGCTGCAACAATGCCCTTGGCTTACCGTACATTTTAACTCATTTCATACAGTGAATTGTAAACAATGGTCCTTTTCCCTACTGTTCAGTGAGTTCCTCCTGGGAAAAAACTGCTGCTTCATTCCCTGTTGTCCTGAGCACCTAGCAAAGTATGTAAAACATAAGAAACACTGAAGAAAAATTTGTTGAATGAATTAACCAACCACAAAGCAGAGGGCCTAGAGAAGAAGCCTGGTAAACCGTCTGTCCATAAAGGGTCAGACAGCAAATACATAAGGTCTTAACATCTCTATTGCTACTCAACTCTCCTTCTTTAGCACAGAAACAGCTACACACAACACATAAATGAATGACCACGACTGTGTTCCAATGTAATTATATTAACAAAAGCAGGTGGTAAACCAGATTTGGCCCATGAGCCAGTTGTCAATCTCTAGTTTAGAGAATAGGCCTTTAAATTTTTAAAAGGAAAGAAAAATAAAGGTAATGAAAAGATCATAGAGACTTACTATTTTAAATCTATGTAAAGTTGAAGCTAAATTTTTACCTATCCAAGTCAATTATTATCATTTGGCATTCTGAGTTGGTCTGTAATACCCAGAATAAGGGGAAGGACATTAGTTAGTATGGCATGCTAAGACAGGAGCGGAATACAAGCAAAAAGTTAGGCTGCAGAGGCCCAGATTGAGGTGGTGCTGTCTGCCTCTGCCCTGATCATCAAAGCCCTCAAGGAGCCACCGAGAGACAGAAAAAAGGAGAAAACATTAAACATAGTGGAAATACCACTTTTGATGAGATTGTCAACATTGCCCAGCAGATGCGGCATCAGTCTTTAGCCAGAGAACTCTCCGGAACCAGAAATCCTGGGGACTGCCCAGTCTGTGCCCTGCAATGTGAACAACTGGCACCCTCACAACATCATAAGACGATAGCACCATGGAGTGCCCAGCTAGCTAAGAAACATAGTAACAGTTCAATAAAAAGATGGTCTGACCAAAAAAAAAAAGTAGTAGTTAGGCCTCAGTCACAAAAAGGATCAGCCAGATATGAAAAGAAGCAGAGAACTAGCCATGGTGGGACACTTCTGTAGTTCCAACTATTCAGGAAGCTGAGGCCAGAGGATCATCTGAGCCTAAGAATTTAAAGCCAGCTTGGTCAATAAAAGAAAATAAAGGAATGAAAGGAAGGAAGAATAGAGAAAGGAAGGGAGGGAGGGAAGAAAGAAGAGGAAGGGAGGGAAGTGTATAGGACTTGGTAGAAAGTATAATCTTGTAGTCATCTGTAATTGATTGACTTGATAAACCTGCATGAGACACACAGACCATCATTAAAATGAATTACAGATATGCACGGTAAATAACGACAGATATGCATGGTAAATGGATCAGAATTTCATCACAATTTGAGGTGAATCATGCATCAAAATAAGGTATGTTTTAGAACGACAACATTCAATGACAGAATGGGTAGCTGGGTTCAAAAACAAAACTCACTGCTGATGCTTTCCTATCTGAGTCCACGTGATAGCCTTCCCTCTCAAGCCTCCTGACCCTACCATGACCCTCTAATGTAAGCTCCTTCAGTTGTGGCGACAGAAGGAAGACTCAAAACTGAGCATGCGTGGGTCACGAGAGCCCATCTGCTATAAAATGCATGTTCTTTGAGAAGTTACTGTATTTCATCAGAGCCTTACTTTTCATAGTCCCTTCCTCTTCCTCGTCTTCTGCATTGATCACCATGGTGCCCAGCTGTGATGGCAACGTGTCATCATGCTCAATCATGGTATTAGCTCCATCGCTCATGGTGCTGGCTACTCGGACAGTGCCCATCTCATCACCCACTGCTCGAACCATTGTGCCAGAATCCATTTCATCTTCCTCCTGCGAAAGGACAAAGTCTCAAATCAGGGCTAACTGGATCACAAGACTTTGAATCTCTGAATTATGAATTACTATTCCTGAATTATGGTTATCTGAATCACTACTATTTATCTTGGTTCAGATATTTCTGGATTTGACACTTCTGGTTCTAAACTCATACTATAGAACTGAAAATATTCTTATTTAACCAAAGAAGATCTTACATTTACCCATGGGAGAGCAGCAAATCTAACCTAAAGGGTCCTCTTCTTCCCCTATTCTCATTAGAGTTTTGTAAGATAGACCTAAGACGGTGACATGAGCACCTTTGGAATGTCAGGGTGTGAAGACTATACGGGTAAAGGCTACAATTTAACTATAAAGCCTAGATTTTCCAAAAGGATTTAGAAAAACCAAGATTTGGAAAAACCAAGTTTTGGGCATTCTTTTTCTCTCAAATAAAAAGTAAAACTGACGAAAAAAAATATGGAGGAAAAGTGGTAAAATTTAAATGTGTTTCAGGAAGTACCAAGGGAAGAACACACAGATTCAGAAATCCTCTGGCAAGCCTGGATTGAGGTCCCGCAGGAAGAATTTCCAGCTCTAAGCCGACCCAACATCACATACTCATCTCACTTGTCCTGACAATCATGAAACAAGAAGCCTTAATGCCTGAAAACGACAGCAAAGCTTGCCACTCACTGAGTTTTCGTCATCATCCTGGTCCACTTCCCGCTGCTGGGCCTCCTGCCGTTTCAGCTTCACATCCATGGCTTCATTAATTAAGTCCCGCAGTATTGACACACCTTTGGCACTCTTGACAAATGGGTGCTTAAATAACAAAGTGGAAACACTGGAGACAGCGTATACAGTGACAGAGCCAAACCCCTGGCACATAGTGAGTAGTTGACAGTTGCCTTAATCAATGAACACTTTTCTTTCTATGCTTTGGACAACAGCTAACCCATACTTACTTCATGATGCCGGGCAGAGACATGCATATGCAGATTTTCCCCACTTTTTTCAGCCAGGCTGGAATGCCTATGCCATTTCTTCTGTCAAATCTACAGATTCTCTACAAGGTGCCATCCCACCTCCTAGATAAAGTTTCGTAAATGTGTTGGAAGACTGCTGCTACAGTGTTTGGAGAGTACACACAGCATGGGAGAGCAGGGAAAGATACTAGCAATCCTGTGAAGTATGAAATGGCCCTGCACAACCATGAACTGTGCTGTATTCTGCACACCTTTCAAATGTCTCGGAGTACATTTTACACTATAATATTGAACATTTTTTTCAGGAGGTATGCAAAATGGCTAATGATTTGGGGAGGTGAATCTGAAGAAGAGGGGAGCTTAAGTGGAATAAAGATACTGTTCATGCACCACTGTAATTTACTCATCCCACTTATTCTTTGTATTCTATGCACTATAGCATTTCCAATTACATATTTGGGCAAAAAAGATTTCAGAATAAAAACACAGCTACTACAACTGATCATAAATACCTAGCAGATGTAGACTCAAGTGTTAGTCAATCAGCAAAGACACCTGAAATACAGGAACACTGCTAAGTTTCATTAATAAAAATTACTTCAAAGTTTTTCTTTTCAAAGTTTTTTTTTAATATTGCTACTATCTTATGTTTGTGTTTATAGCACATATCTCTACTGTAAAAATTGTGCGTGGAAATTATTCTGGGGGCTTGCCTTTTGTTTTTCTGATATGGTTGTTTTCTTCTTTGCAATCTACTTTCTATAGCTCATCACATGTCAGAGGGTAAGGCCTCCAAGGCTTTCTACGTACTGCAAAGATTAAAAAAGATGTCCCAGTACATGCTGGGATACAGAAGATATCTGCCCAGGAACTTTTATTATTATCCCATCTAGACAGGAAAAGAATTATTAATACCATCTGCATGCAGGTAGCTGAAAGCATCCTCTGGTCAGCAGGTTAACGAACGGAGGGGCAACAAGGTGACTCATACCTGCAGGAGTTGAGTGGCTGTGGCTCTCTGCTCAGGGCTCTTTACAAGACACTGCTTCACAAAATCCATGAAGTTATCTGACCACAGCTCTGGCTTTCGGAATGTGGGAGGAGGGTTTGTTGGAATCATGAAGATTGCCTAAACAAACAAAAAAAAAAGTTGGTAAAATAAAAGAAAGTGATGCACCAACAAAAATATAACCAAAAATATAATTTTCAATTGAAGCTTGGTAAAATGATTTTTCTCACAGCCACTGATAAATCCATTCAAACACCATCCAAAGTCTAAACATCTTAAAGTATAAAACGGGGACTAAAGAACTTGATATATTTCTCTCCTTCCCTTTCCCTCTCTTGCATGTATTATTTTCCCCAACCTTGGCAGTATCAATGAAGCTTTTTATTTTTTACGCTAACTACATTACATGGCCTTTCAAAGTAAAAGGCAACACCTACAAGTACCCATATATTGAAAATAACCTCACTGTCTAATTTCCTGCTTCCTTCAAAGTCACTACAACACTATTTTGGGGAGGGGACGACAGGGAATCAAACTTAAGACCTCACGTTTGACAGGCAGGTGCTGTGCTGCTGAGTTACAGCCCTAGCCTTTTTATTTTTTAATCACAACAGCAGATGTCAGCTAAGATGATCAACCAAGAAGCCTCAAAATCACAAGGTAAGCTCCAAGCTAAGACAAATCAAAATTCTTGGGAAAAATAAAGACTTAAAAATCACCTCACTGCATCAGTCAAATTCTACTTCAAAGCCAGCCATGATGGCACATGCCTATAATCCCATTGCTCAGGACACTGAGGCAGAAGAATCACAGTGAGTTCAAGGCCAGCCTGGGCTACATAGTGACTCCAGCTCCAGGTCAGCCTGAACCACATAGTGGGACTCTGTTTCAAAAACAAACTACTTCAAAAGCCAGGCATGGTGGTGCACTCCTATAATCCCAGCACTTGGGAGGCTGAGGCAGGTGAAACATTTGCAAGTTTGAGACCAGCCTGGGCTAAAAAGTGAGCCCAAGACCAGCCTTAACTTCATAGTGAGACTCTGTCTCAAAAAGACAAAAAAAAAAATCTATTGAAAGACACTTGAATTTTCAAAAGAAGAGTCAGTTTTTGAAAGATAAAACCCTTTGCAATAAGCAACTTAAATTATATTCTTTAAATCTAAAAACATAACTTACTTAGTAATACAATAAGGAAGCACGGGAACTAGGTGAAAAGCCCATAAAGGAGACAATCCCTACTCAGCTCCAGTTAATGTTACCATGTTAGAACGGTGCCTAAAATGTATACATAATTATACAAGTCAAACAAGATTTCTGTACCCGATGTCCTGCCAGTTCTATTCACATACAACTTCTTTTTGTTTGTTTTTTACAATCTATAATGTACTCTTTATGATAGTACCCTAACATACAGCTTCTTGGAATAGAGACAGGTGGGTTGCACTTTAGTGATTATGTGCCATCAGTGGAACTGTATCATCTACAATGACACAACAACATTACACTTACTTAAATTATTGCTTGGAACTTTACCAAGTACATCACTGAACTAACCCCACTGGTGCTCCATCCATTTCCTTACCCTCATTGGATGGATATCAGCATACGGGGGCTTTCCTTCAGCCATTTCTATGGCAGTTATTCCCAGAGACCAGATGTCTGCCACGCAGTTGTACCCAATTTCCTGAATCACTTCTGGAGCCATCCAAAATGGTGTTCCTATCACTGTATTCCTCTTGGCCATGGTATCCTAAAAGAGAAAGAGGAGAGTCTACTACTAAGCATTGTAAGTAATGACAAAAAGAGATTTTCCCAATAATAAAAAGACTTTAGCTGGGTTGGCAGCGCATGTATGTAATCCTAGCACTCAGGAGACTGAAGCAGGAGAATCACTGCAAGTTCAAGGCCAGCCTGGCTTATGAAGTGAGCTCAAGGCCACCCTGAACTGCACAGTGAGACCATCTCAAAAAGACAAGGCCTTGTAATTAAAATCTGTACAAAACCCGCAACTAGGAATTCATAAGAGAAATTCAAATAACCATGAAACAAAAAGATTCTTAATTGTTAAACACAAAGTAAGATAAAACTTTAAATTAGTAACTAGCACTAACAATAACATATAAGCTGGGAGTGGAGATGCACATATTATAATCGTAGCACTGGAAAACTGAGGCAAGAAGACCACTGTAAGTTTGAGGTCTGCCTGAGCCTCATGGTAAGTTCAAGGCCAACCTGAACTACACACAGCAAGATTTTTCCTCTAAACAAATAAATGAATGAATGAACAATAATAGCATATAAAACCCGAACCCAAAACACAATGTCAATGGAGTATAAATTTTCATACTCTATTTTTGTAGGCATACTGCAATACTCATTAAACATTTAAATATTCATATACTTTGATCCATATCTACTTGGAGAAATCTGTTTTACATGTAAGTGTCCCAAGAGATATGCAAATTTTGTAGAAATGTTTGTAACTGAGGGAGGAGACAGGGAAAATATTCAGTAAGTGGCCATATATTGAAATACCACATTAAAAAGGAAAAAAAAGAGGACGGAGGACCCCTGAAAATACAGCAGCAGTACAACACTTTTCTGGCATGCTGCTCTAGGCCCTCAGTTCAATCCTTAGCACCACAAGCATGCGCGCGCGCGCGCACACACACACACAGAAACAAAAGACATGTATTTTTGTTTACCTTGGAAAAAAAATGTATATATTGTGAAGCTAAAATGTGAATACTGTGAAGAAAAAATGTGATATACTGTAAAACAAAAATAGGTTGCAAAACTATATATAACATAGACCTGTTTTTGTAAAAGCAAAACAAAGACAATAACATAAGATAATAATAAGAAAAAATGTTACTGCAGAGCAAAAAGAAAATCATGAATAATATACAGCAAAGCATTAACAGTAGTTATACATCTAAAAGGCAGAATCACCGTGGACTTTTACTTTCCGTCCTACATACATACACTTCTGTAACATTCTGATGACACTTATAATAAGTGTGCAGTCAGGAAAAGATTTTCAAGCTTATATATATAGCCAGGTACAGTATACCTGGCTGTAATACCAGCACTCGGCAGACTGAGGCAGGAGAATCACAAGTTCAAAGCCGGCCTGGACTACATAGGAAATGTAGCCAGCCTGGACTATAGTAAAAGCATGTCTCAAAAAAACCCAAATATAGGGGCAGGGGATTTAGCTCAGCGGCATAAGTCCCTGCCTTGCAAGCAGGCAGTCATGAGTTCGATCCCTAGTACCGATAAAAAGGCAAAAGACCAAAAAAAAAAAAAAAAAAAAAACCCAAATATACAAAAAAAATGACATATAAAAAAGTTTTAGTTTGTGGATGAAAGAACATATGGAGATAATACGCATTACAGCAAATAACCACTTGCACATTTTTCCATAATGACACAGCCCTGCTAAAAGAGAATTTTTAACGGTTCCTGTACTTTAAAAGGAGGACTTCTAAACAGAACTAACGATGAAAAAGGACATTCCATCATCATCACCCATGTTTGTTCCTTCTGAAATGCCTGTAGCTTAATTAGGTTATGCCATTTAAGAGTAGATGACATGTAACATTTCTGAAGTGATCTCTCTCCATCGCTCCTATGTGAAAAGCTAACATAGGAAATAACTTACTGCTTAGTCATTTCCTTAGTTCTGAAACTCAAATGTGCAGGGGTGTTTTTTTTTTTTTTTTTTTTCAGGGGTGTTTTTGTATGATGGTAGCTGAAAAGTTTTCATTAATTATTTAATTAGAAATAGATACATATTTAGATAATATGTATGAATTTTTTGAGACTTAAATGATTGGATACTAGTCTCATCTAGGTTTATATTATAAAGTTATTTTAGTATAATATTAGAGTTACAGAAAGCCCAAAAACAGACTATGGCATATGTACATACACATATAATATAATGGGCATTTTTAATTTTAATATTATGTTTTTACATAGCATCAAAAGGCTACATGTTTAAACTTGATTTCCTTCAAACTGTAGCTTATGTAGTATTGTTTGATATGATTTACTTATAATATTTGAAGAGTGCACAAATCACAATACTGAATAAACTTCTAACTTGTTTAGGACATTAAAGCAATTTCTGTGCTACTGTAATATCTATAAGTCTCCCAAACATGTCATAGATAGATTTTGAATTAAAAAATACAAACTGAGGTGGACTGCAAGGAGAGAGAACCAGGCCTCACACGGTGATCCCTGCCTGGAAACCAGTGCCATGAGCGGGCTGCTGCTGAAGTGGGGACAGCCACACCCAAGCTCTCTGTAGTCAGCACCATTTTGGACTGGGACTGCAGGGAAGAGAACAAGGCCTCACCAGGAGGTGATCCCCACCTGGAAACCACAGCACTTTCATTGTTTTACTCTGTTGGGTTTTATTCTCTTTTGTTTTGTTTATGTTAAATCTGATGGTGTAAGTAGCTATTTAAAAGATAGCAAGACATACTATAGCAGCTATACTGGATTGAAGTCTGTTACTGCATACACTGTTTTGTTTTTTTCTATTCTGTTTTGTTCTGCTTGATTTTTATTATGTCTGAAGGTATCTGCAGCTATTTTGAAAACAATAAAAGGAATATGGTAGGTTGATTTTGAAAGATTTTGAAGTCCTGTATCACCTATACTACTTTATTTTGATTGGTTTTATTGTTTTATTTTGCTTGGTTTTATCCTCTTTAAAATAAACAAACAGAGTTAGGCATGATGGTACATGCCCATAATCCCAACACTTGGGAGGCTGAGGTAAGAGAATCACTATGAATTTGAGGCTAGCTAGGCTATATAAGCAAGTTCAAGGCCAGATTAAATGACATAGTGAGACTTTGTCTTAAAAAAATAATTTTACAAAGTAAAAATTGCACACAATGCCAATTACCTAATATATAATATAGCTGCAAATGTTAGTACATTTGTCTACAACTATTTCTGGTTTTTTTGTATACATTTTCACATATTCTTGGGTATTTTACAAAATCAGATAAATTCTAGACTTCCTGTTTTGAAGCTGTTTTTCTTTTTTCACTGCCATGCACTACTGAGACAGAAGGAGAAACAGACAGTGCTGAAACCAAGTGAGAATGTCTTCAGTAAAGTAACTGTTCAACACTACTTAGAAGCTGAATGACATGTTATTATGCCTTACGTAAGGAAAGCAGCACGTATTTAAGTTTTCTTCCATTTATAAATATGCTTATTAGCCCAACTGAATTTAAACCAATATTCAATCATTTTTTTCAGTTTTCATTTTTATGAAAAAATTTTAAGAAGTTAAATAATGTGACCTGAACAATAGAAAGGATATGAAATAATTTATTAGCTTTCTTGTAACCTATTGGTAGATTCTATACTGTTTTACTAACACAATTAATTCAATTTTTGAGGGGGGTCTTTTTTGAGACAGGGTCTCTCTATGCAGTTCAGGCTGTCCTTGAGCTCTCTTTGTAGCCTAGGATCGTCTTGAACTTACAACGCCGCGTGAACCACCATGCCTGGCCTTCAATTAAGTTTTCGTTTTTTTTTCAGTACCAGGGATCGAACTCACAACCACACACTTGCAAGGCAGGCGCTTATGCCATTGAGCTAAATCCCCAGCCCCCTTCAATTATGTTTTAAAGATAAGTAAAAGGAACTGATCCCTCAGAACAAAGCTGAAAATATTAATACAAATACCATATTTACTTACTGTAAGTTGACCTGCTACTCCAAAATCTGCAAGCTTTGCATGTCCTTCTGTATTTAGCAAGATGTTTCCTGCCTTAATATCTCGGTGTATTTTTCTCATAAAATGAAGGTATTCCAGGCCTTTGAGAGTTGACTGCAATATTGTAGCTATCTCATCTTCTGTTAACTAAAAAAAGAATGAGAAGCTCAAATCCTATTTTTACATCACATATTTGAAAAAGAAAAGTTAGATTCAAACTATAAACATAAGATCTTACTTAACATGTGAGCATCTGACTGCTTGTATGTATATGCTAACAGTACCCAAAATGATAGTTCCTGACCTACACATCAGATCTGCCTACATTTCTGAGTATCTAGCAAGTATCATAAGCAGAACATTTCAAAACCCAACTCATTCTATCTCTTCCCTACTTGTCACCCTCCTACTCACCCAACTCACTCTGTTCCCTTATCTTAGTCAGTGCAGTACATCATCTGATATACATTATTCACATACTTACTAGTATGAGTCTTCTGTATTAGGAACATAACATGCATTAAAATGTTTTTGATTTGTTTACTTTGGCATTCTCTTTTTTTCAGATCATTTCCTGTATTAGTTCATGTATGTAGTACATAATGTTTACATTCCTTGTGAGGGGTTGGTATATGTACATGATACATCTCAATTTCTTTTCCTATTTTCCTCCCCTACTTTTGTATTCCTAACACCAACAATGAGATCATGCAAATAACAGGCAGTGCAAAAAATAAATGTTGAATGATGATAGCTAAGATAGCTAAGTGAAACTGAAAACACCGAACAGTAGCACAGATTATCTGATCAGACCAGCGTTAACTTTGTGGAGTTTTAACCAAAGTTCTAAATAAATGCAGTCTATTAACAAACTCTCATATGGTTCCCCTGTAACAAACAACTCACATTTTTTTCCACTTTTCTCTCCTCTTTTTCTTTTTTCCAGTACCGAGGATTGAACTCACAACCACCTGCTTGCAAGGCAGGTGCTTATGCCGCTGAGCTAAATCCCCAGCCCCTCTCCTCTCTTTTTTTTAAAAATCATTTTTTGGGGCCCATTTTAGATATACATAGTGATATAACTGACATTCAGAAAGAAGTGTACATGGCAGAAAAAGTGTAGAAAAGCCTACTCTTTACTCTCAACTCTATAGCTGACTGAAGCAAGTTACTGAATTCCTATTAGCCTCAATTTCTCAATATATAAAATAGAAGTATCATTTTTAAGATTACACAAAAAGGGGAGAACATGGCGGATAGATAGCAGCAGCTACCGAGGCTCTCTGAGATACCCCGCTTAAAATCCAGAAATGGTGCAGTACAAGGAATCCTAAGCAAGGGGAGATATACCCTACCGACCCAGGAATGAACTAAGCTAAGAGAAACCAACTGGAAATCCAATTCTGGTGCTATACCAGGAACAGATAAAATCTCAGTGCGGGAAGCTAGAACCCGCGCCACTGGAAGCCGCAATTTGAATTTCCTGCCGCCGCTGCTGCGTCCAAATCTGCTGGGCAGGGAGAGAGACTCGTGAAAACTCTAAGGGCGGGAATCTGTGAACGGAGTTGAGAGCAGGACTAGCAGGGAGCCCTACATGGACTTGTGGTGAGTGAACAGAACAGGGACCCTTTCATACAGTAGGAGGCTCCAGCAAAGGAAATACTGGGACCAGGCAGACTTGCCAGAACAGAACACTGCAGTGACATTAGCCACATATTCCCCTCTCAAGCGGGATTGGTGGGGAGTGCCTGGCCTGCGTGACGCCGATGACTAAGACCCAGTAGGCTAGCACAAACCAGCTCCCAGCACCTGGAGGTGCACCCTAGCAGTGAAGCCTTCGGTAGGTTGACCTGGAGTGGTGGGCCCCGCATAGGCTGCCAAAGTCTGTGTCTCCCTAGTACACTGCAGTGGGTGGAAACACCTAGCCGGCGCAATTCAAACAAACTGTAACCGACAAAGAGAAAAAAATTGGACCTCCTACATTCAATTGTATGGAAGGAACAAAAAGTATGGGAAGAGGAAGCAACAAGAAAGGGTCCTCAGTCCCCAATCCTGAGAACACTGATCCAGGAAAGGGAAACGTAAAGGAAGACAGAAAATATGCAATATCAGACATGGCACCAATAGACATAAAGCAATATCTCCAGAGCCTCATAGACGAGTTTAAAAATGAAGTATTTAATGAAACAAAGCAACATATAAGTAGAATAGTTAGAGAAATGCTAAGAAAAAACAGATGGTAGAATGGAAGAACAGAAAAAAAGAGGAGAATTGTTTGATGGAGAAAATAGAGAAAATATAGAATACGTGGAGCAGGTTCAAAGAGATTACCAGGAAACTAAAAACTCTATCGAAAGCTGGCGTAACAGCTTGAAAGAAACTAAGGGTAGATTATCTGAATTGGAGGGCAGATTTGCAATACGGGAGCATGAAATGAACAACTTCTTAAAAATAACAAGAAAACAAACAGCAATAATACAAAGGCTAGAAGATGATAACAGGATCTACAACTTAAGAATTAAGAACATGGGGGCTGGGGATTTAGCTCAGCGACATAAGCGCCTGCCTTGCAAGCAGGCAGTCGTGAGTTCGATCCCTGGTACGGATAAAAACGAAAAAGACAAAAAAAAAAAAAAAAAAAAGAATTAAGAATATAAAAGAAGAAGTAGGGACACAAACAAATGGACTACAAAAGCTATTCACAGAAATAATGCAAGAAAATTTCCCTAATTTAGCAAAAGGTAAAGATACTCAGATGTATGAAGCATACAGGACCCCAGCCACCTACAACCCAAACAGAGCTACACCCAGGCATATAATAATCAAAATTCCAGAAATCCAATATAAGAACAGAATACTAAAAGCCGTCAGAGACAAGAAACAATCACTTACAAGGAAACACCCATCAAAATTACAGCAGACTTCTCGGCACAAACTATCAAATCACGAAGAGCATGGGAGGAAATAATTCAAGCTTTGAAAGATAATAACCTCCAGCCAAGATTGATATATCCTGCACAACTGTCCCTAGAAATTAATGGAAAAACAAGGTGCTTCCAGGATAAAGAGGAACCAGGGGAATTTGCAACCACCAATGCAACTCTACAGAGAATACTGCAGGATATTCTAAAAAAGAAAAATACCAAGATTCTAGAAATAGTGGCAGAGAGGCCACAATGAATGGAGCAGAAAGCAAAATGAAGAAGACAAACTGACAACTAATGACAGAAAAAGAGCTCAACAGAAATGAGGTAGAGAAGATTAGATGGTAGGAACATCTATTTTGGAGAAAACAAGACATCATAATAGTTAGTGCTCATTTAGTATCACCTTGCTTTGAAGTCCCATCAAGCTTTTATTCTTCTGTCTCCATCGGTCTTAACAGGTTGTATCTTACTGGATTTTATTATATGTGATGATATAAGCAAAAACTTCTATACACAAGGAGATTATACAGAAACCATTGTTCATTTTCTGATAGTTGGTTCTAAATACCCTGTAATACTGTCATTCTCTTGAATGGTTTTACATTGTCTTGATATGTTTGGTGCTACAGTATATGAAGTTATACTCAAAGATTTCAAGGAAAGAGACACTATGGTAACTACTTTTATGTCAGTATATCTTGTGGTGAAACACTATTTTGCTTAAATAGTTATGCTTTGACCTGCGCTGTTTTGTTGTTATGCCCTCTTTTATCTCAATCTCCTTTTTTTAAAATTATTTACTTTTTTATTATCTTTTTAATTAAGGGAAAAATAAAAAAAATAGCAGGAAACATTATAGTAAACCACTTTGATTTCCTATTAACTTGATTTGAAACCCTGTATAGCCCTCACCATCTTGCTTTTTCCTCTATTCTGCTTTGCTTGATAGTACCAAGTTCGAAAGTATAGGCAAAACTGTGAAAACAATAAGATTCATTATGATGCCCATTCCGGTTGACCATTATCTTCTTTTAAAGTCCTGTAATATCTCCAATGTTTTGGTTTTATTCTTTACTGTTTTGTTCAATTTTATTATAACTGATAATATAGGCAATTCTTTTTAAGATAGCAAGAGGCAGTATGGTAACCATTGTTGATCATCTAGTATTTTGTTTTTACATTATCTACTATGTCCATCCTTTTGATTTGACTGACTCTGTTCTGTTATGGCACATTTGGTTTTACTCTCTTCAAAAGAAAGCAATAACAACTGTGGGAGTAATAAAACCTAAAATGTGTAATTCTCAGTGTACAAAAGAAAGGAAAAGAAAGTGCTCTAAAGAATATAACTGCATATATATTTAAGTGTATAAGATAGATAACCTATATTGCTGAGTTTTGTTGTATCATTGAACAAAACTGTTTCCAGTCGCACTGTTTGAAAGTCCACTTTATATGCTTTAATTTTGTAACTTGAACAACTATTTCTAAGATAACAATATGTAATCTATTAACTAGTGATTTCCTACTGTTTGTTTTCTGAAACTCTGTATAACTTGTACCCTTTTTCTATTTTTTTTTCTTTTTCTCCTTAAATTAAAAAAAAAGATTACACAAAAAGCCGCAATGGCCTAGCACATCAAGGCCCCGGGCTTAATCCCCAGCAACAACAGCATCAAGAGATCAAATGACAGAAGGCTTGCCTGGGGTGACAGTCCATTCCTGTAATTTTCGCAGTATGGTGAGATGCTAAGGCAGTAGGATCACTGTGAATTCCAGGCCAGCCTGAACCACAGAGACCCTGCCTCAAAAAGGCAAAAAAAAAAAAAAAAAAAAAAAACACCCAAATAAATAAATAAATAAAAGCTTAATGATTACATACACACTATGGTTAACAATAGTTTTAATATCTAACACAGAATCAACCAACAAAATTTATTAAGTACCTATTGTAAGCCAGGAAATATGCCACTACTATTAAAAATACGTAATCATTTCTAAGTATTGAATCTGCACGAGGTATTATTTTTGTAATCTCATGTTCTCCTTACAAAACTGCTAAATGTGGGACTTCCAGGAAGATGGCGGAGCAGTAAGTGGCAGTGGAAGCAGCCTCTCTGCAAGTCACTGTCCAGACGCTGGAGTGCAGCATTGTGAGGAAGACAAGAAGGAGGGAAGTGAATCCCCAGGACCGAGGAAGAATATGAAACGTGAACTGAA